ACGACTTATTTGAAAGTCGTCTGGGCAGACGACTTACGAGGGCTAGAAACGTAAAAAAAATTCGCGTTTTTTGTTTGTTCACAAGGAGTTGGTTGTAATTTCAATAGCCTTTTAAGTTACTTTTGCATTTGATTCAAGTTTGGGTTTACTTTTGCATTTCAAATCAAGTTTTGAGTCATATTTGGCAATTTTCCCTAAATAATATCATTCCACTTCGCAAGTCCAGTAAAATTAAAATTATTTTTTATCGTATCAAAAATCCAAGCAATAAATGTGTAGATGTATATAATAAAATCAAAATTATGAAAACTTGCAATTTAGATAAATAAAATTATTTGAAATAGCAAAATAGGTTTTCAAACCTAAAATAAACATTCATTTTGATTATACAAGAATATGGATTGATGTAAAGAATAAGCTTGCTTAATTGTTACACAATAATTTGGCATAATAATTAAATTAAAGTCTTAAAACTGTTTTTTAAAATATAAATTATAAATGAAATTTATATATTTACAATAAATTTACAATAAATTGTTTTTAATTTTTATTTATAAAGTTTGTAACATATTATATTTTCTTAGTAGTTACTTAGCATAATTAATTAAAAATGTTCGTACTAAAAAAAACCAATTTTGGAATCGACCGTAAAATCAAAGTCTCGTACTCTATCTCGCTCCGAAGACCGAACAAACTTTTCAAAAATGTGGAATAATAATTGTAATTTAATAGAATATATTAAAATTATTTTTAAATACCAAAATTTTGATTAAAATCGGATTTTATTCTGATTCTCTAAATACCAAAATTTTGAACACATTCAGATATTACATCGATTTCATGTTCGGATTTGTTACTGTTTCTGATCAGATTTGTAGATATACAAAAAAGGTTTAAAGAGAATAAAAACAAAAAATATACCCGTCCTTGAAGGGTCAAAATCTAGTAAAGTATTAAAACATTTATTTTTTCTACATTGTAAAAACATATACAAACTCTCATCCAATGAGCTCAGATTCTAAACTACTAATTTTATCTACAAAGACCTTATGAGAACTAATTATTCATACACAACTTCATTGTATTGTTTCTGTTACTAAATTTGAAAAAAGGCTTACACCATCCAACGTGAAAGTAAAAACACTAACCCTTTGGCTTCTCATCCATGACTTGATTCCAAAGCAGCATGCTCTACGTTTTCTCTGCAGAATCGAGCTCCTACTTCCATCTAAACCGGTTAGTTTGTTGTCACTGTTCTCTTCTGTTTGGATAAAAGGATTGGTGGCTTGTGAGATTGTTATCCTTGTGACCTCTTCCGAGTTTTTTGTAAGATCCATCTTGGGAGATGCAGCAAAAGAACTTGATCCACCTCCCCTATAAACAACTCTAAAAAGGTTTAAAAAAATCATTTAGTCAAAAGCAAATGGCTTTCTTGAGATTCTTTAGTCTTGTTACCTATTGTTGTTGCTGTTCTTGTAGTTGTGATAATCAAGAACTTCAGTTTTAGGATCTTGGATACAAACTTTGCTACTCGAAACAATCGTAACGCAGAGCAATAAAAGTGAACTTACGGTTAACTTTTCTCTTATATATTTTTTTTTTTTTTGCACTATAGAGAACAAAAAATCATCTTTGGCACTGCATCAATTTAGTAAACCAAGTCAGGATGCATATCCCGAAATTTCAATAAAAATGGATTATATGATTGTTCAAAGATCAAAGCCTAACAAAAAAGATAAACAATAACTTTTTTTGATTGAAGTTCTTCTCTATTTTACCAAAACAACTAAACAAAGGGAATTTTAGTGGATTAATTATTTGACCCATATAACGGGATGTTAGTTTGGTAAGCGAACAGTCCGAGAATTTTGGTATAAATGTGTTTAATCATCTAATCTATTAAAATAGAGTCCTATATTTTGGATCTTTTTCTCATATGGATTGTTGTTTTTTGCTTGTTTGAGCTTTACTTATATCACCTACTGGTGAGTGTCTATTACTCATGTTTTGAATTTGTACTCTAGGAACTTTTTTCCTCTGAAATTTGAATAAACAGTGTTAAAAAAAATATTTTATCTACTTATCAATATTGTCATTTAAATTTTGGACTTATTCATATTTCACTAGGAAACCAAACCCTGTGAATATCAAAGCCTCAATCTCTGCATAATGAGACAGTAAAAACCAGTTAGAAGAGTAAACCAAGAACTGAAAATCTGATCAAAGAATCTATAATATCAAACGAAGTTATTTCCGCAGATCGATTTCTAAAAGAGAACAATATCAATTCCATCTTTCTCCAACATACGACCCTTGAATTCAGATCATAAGCAAGAAGCCCTAGTAATCGCCCCATCTTGAGGAAGCTTTATTTAATCTCGAAAATTTGGGATAAAGATTTGGTAGAAATAAGGAAATATATTGTTTGTTGAGAGTAAATGACTTAGTGGAACTGTTTCATTTTAATTAAAAGCATAGATTAAAAATATTCCAGTGGCAGGATTCTGTAAATACTGTTGAAACAGAAGGGTATTTTAAAAAAATATTTAATAGAGTCAAAACTACTTTAATCGGGTAAAACCACTTTGATATAAAGCATAGCTTAAAAATAATGTAGTGAGCATAGCTTAAAAATAATGTAGTGGCATTTAGTTGTAAATACTTTCAAAAGAGAATGACACTTTAAAAAAGTGACTCTGTTTTAATAGAATAAACTGTACTATTTGCTGGCTTTATTCTTACAAACAAAAGCAGAGCCAAAAAGGGGGCTTTACTCAAGCCCTAGTCAAAACTGTATGCATGTTGATCTCTAGCTAAGCATAAACTTCAAGTTACCTGGAAGAGTGTGATAGAGGCATAGAGCTACATTTATCTTCTTTCATAGGTTTTTTATGCTTTAGAATTTGATTGACAAACCATGTCGGAGGCTAACCATCTATGCTTTGTTAAGGTGATAAGCCATGGATTGTATATTACAGGAAGAAGGATGGGAGAAACGTTGAAGGTGGAGAGAAAGAGGTGAGTTGGAATACTCTTTTTTTTTCATTTAGAGACTTTGCAGTTATGTTCAATAAGCTTGTATAAGTACTTTGTATAGGAGTACGTGGGAGATCATCATTTGATTGGTCAAGTTTGTAGAGATACAGTATTGAGAATACGATAGCTCGTGAGAGGTCGTACGTTTCTGGTATTCTGTTACTGGAAGATCTCATTTAAAGTTTAGACTATTAATTGGCTGATGTGTCCATCCTCAATCTGCATAGCCACCTCTTCACACTCCTCCTTCATCTGTTTCTTCTTCCAGCACCAGCCAGCTTTCAAATCGCGAGAAGAATGCTTCATAGTTGGAAGTGATGCCTGAGAGAGTTTAGTCTTTCCGATATCTGAAGGGTGGAAGCGTTCATCGCATCGTAGAGAGGCATTTATAGGGTGAGGTTGTAGTCTTTACCTTCGCAGTGATGAGGCTGAATAAATGATCGGCATGAGAAAGGAGGTGGGGTGCAGTTTAATGTTTGGATAATGGAGGAGGTCAACCAAACTGAAGCCGTTACACAGAGCATGATCGGGACGACTGATACGAGGAGCAGAGGAGGTGAAGCTTCTTGTTGCAAAAAACCCTAGAAAATGTAGGTCTAGAATGCATAACACCATGATTAATCCAGTCTTTTAACAGGGATTATTATCTTCGGATAAGAGACGGTTCTTAATTTTTTTTAGATTATAATTAAGAAAAGCTAAAAACCGTCTTTTAAATAAAGATATAAGATCCGTCTTTTAACCGAAAAGTGTAAAAAAAAATTATCAAATCACAAGTTAGGAACTCAGGCTAAGAGACCCTGGGATTATCGTGCTCTAAGTCCATATATAAACTCCTTTATCGTAAGTACACAATAGCGAGAAAAGCTTTAAGCTTGCCACGGGCATGTTTTGTATTCTCTTTCTGACGTGGCACATAGTATATATAGACAAGATAATTATGCACTTTGCGGATGCTTTATGCACTTTGCACAGTGTGTATATATACAAATTTATTCTGCATTTCGCGGATGCTTATCATAAAATTTTGATCCACAAAAAATACATTTATTTGGATGCACGGATCATATTCTAAAAATGTGGTTCATACAATTGACGATTTACAAGACAAAATAAAATTACTCAATATAAACTATAATATTATTATGTTTATAAATATCATATTAAACAATTATTTAATATAGGTAAAATTTAAAAATGCATACTATCACTTAAACAAAATTAATATTTATTTATAAAAAGAATAAATCAAACACAGTCAATGATATCTTAAATCCATTTACATATAACCAAACCAAAAGCCTAAGAAGATTTGTCGGAAGGATCAAAGATCTGACCAACGAACAAAACAGTACCAGTTTTGTCTTCTCTAATTAAGAAGACAAAGGGATGATCTGCCACAAAATCTATTCTCTTAGGAGGCTTCATTGGCATCGCACATCCATCAGCGACTGTACAAGTTGCAGCAGCAGCTTCAGCGCCTTCTTCATCAATCTCCACACATGCTTTATGAAACAAATACATTGAACGCAACCCCAAGTCGTCGCCGTCTAAGCCATAAGAGATCTTAAACTTTGGGATTCTGAATTCATTAACTAAAACTGGAAAACTTGGAACGTGACTGTCCAAGAATCCAGAAGTAGATGCCATTGCCTTGACAAGATCATCCAATCCATCTCTCTTGTCTGGGAGATAAAAGTACATCGAGAAGCTTCCATTGGTAGCAGCATCAATTCCTTGTAGATAAGAAAAGCTGCGATTGTTATTGTTAGCAACACCGCCTTGTCGATAAGGTATCCTGAGCACCTTGAAACCATCATAAGCATTTATGTATTGGTCCATGCAGCTGCTCATGAATGGCACGGACACTGCGGTTCGACTAACACGGTGAAACTTTCTGTGCATCGTGTAAGACTTGTCGAATGGAACTTCCCAAGCTCCTTTGAAGTAGAGTGCGTTTCCATAAACAGAATTGGTTAGACTCGAGATGGATCCAGGAGGAAGAATATCTTTGATGAGACCATTGGTATGATTTTCAGCCCATTTATTCAGCTCTCCACGCACTTGTTCAGCCTATTGTACCAAAAAAAAAAAAATTATGTCATAATATTAATTTATAAAGACATCAGATAAAAACAGAACATAAAAAACAGAGTTTACTTAAAGAAACAGAGCATTGAAAAGCTTACCTGTGATCGAAAGTCTACACGACCAAAAACAGCTTTGAAGACATTCTCAAAGAGATCCTTGAACGATGGATCAATGGGTAGCGTTTTCTCGATCCATACGCCATTGAGCGACGAGATCTTTGGTCCACCATTCGCGCTACGGTCAGCGAAGACGATGGGGACGATCTTGCTGAAGACGGCGTTGATTTCATCGGTTGAAGAAGACCTCAGGAAGGAGAGGATCTCACCAGAGACTGCAGAACCGTCGGGACCAGAAGCCGCCAATGTGAGGCAGGAGTTTATAGACGCCGGAGAGAAAACGGTGTTAGAGTCTTTGGCTTTGGTAGAGAAGAGATGCTTGGAAACGATCAGGGCTAAGTCGTTTTGGTTCTTAATGGCTTTTTCTACGTTAATGACTGACTTGGACGGGACGCTAGAAGGATTCATTGTGATGTAGCTACGATTCTCTTTATGATTAAGAAAACTTTGTCGGGGTTAAACACTATATATAGGTTTAGACAAATCCTCTTTAGGGTTGGATTAGTAGAAGTCGGCTGTATAGTTTTTTTTGTAACAACAATAATAAATTTATTAATCCTTATATAATAATTGAGTATCATTTAAAAAGCTGTAAACTTAGATTTATATTAATTAAAAACAATCTCAATCCTCATATCTCTTTGCATTAATTCTATTTAACACAATTCTATTTAACACAATTCTAAAGCACTTTACATATACCATAGTTTAAACATATATTTACTAGAAAGATTGTGTTATATATATTTTAATCACATTAGGTAATTTCCTAGATTTTATTTAAGAAAATAATGAATATAAATTTTTAAGATTAATAAGAAGTATCATTTAAAAAGTTGTAACCTTAGATTTGTATTAATTAAAAATAATCTCAATCCTCAGCATATCTCTTTGCATTAATTCTATTTAACACAATTCTAAAACACTTGACATATACCATAGTTAAATATATATTTACTAGAAAGATATTGTTCGCATATCTTATTAATCTTAATAACTTATTATTCATTATTTTCTTAAATAATATCTAGGAAATTACCTAATGTGATTAAAATATATACATGAAAATTAATAATTTCAATAATAAAGATTTGCTAACAATTTGTATACCCTCTACCATTTTTGTTTAAATATTTGTTGTTAAAATAGATTACACAGTTATATTATTTATATAATAAAAATTTATATTATTTCATATATATTGTATTTTGAATTTTTTAAAACGAGTATAAATTATTAAATTGTTAAAAGTCTCAAATAAACTTTTTGTGATCAATGAATTAAAATTTTATTATAATAAGATACAAATAATATTAAATACATGAGTACAAATTCTGATTTAATATGTTTATATTAATACATATATATAACTTAAATTAAATAACATACCAAATAAAAATACATACTTTTAGTTTGATATTTTCACTGAAAAAATATCGAGAATTTAATATTTTAATTTTAAAATCTGCATTCAATTTTTAAAAGTTCAAATTTTGTTATCAAAATATATTGATAATCATATAACCTTATAATAAGAAAATTCATTTACTAAACATCCATATTAAAAATATATTATAGATATTTTTAATGTCATTTAAATTTTATTGTATTTAATATACGATGGATAAAATTGATAGTTTTGATTTATTTACCATAAAATGATTGCTAATAAATAAGAGTGATCGTTTGATTTAAATGCACACACCAAATTATTTATATATGTAATAGTGATTGAGTTCTCAGTTATTCAATCTATATGTTTCTTATTTATTTTTCATAATATATAGAAAAATATAAAATAAATAATAGTATACAAATATAGTTTGTAGATAAAATGTTTATCCTGCAAAAATCTTATATAAAAAGTTAGGAAAAGAAAATCAAAACACAATTTTATTTGTGTGATTTCACCATATACAACAAAATCGCGAATGAATATTATACAAATCAAGATCCACGATACTTACAATGTATTCTCCCACCATTTATAAATGATTATATAAACAATTTCAAATTCAATTTAATTTACAGACCGGCCAACATATCAATATTTTTTCTCATAACCAACATATCAATTTTTTTTCTCAGTTTCTTTTATCCTAATTAAACTGTAAACGGGTAATACAAGAAATCAATTAGCCAAACAGGAGGATTATTAAAATAAGCAAACATATCTTCATTCTCCAACATCTTAGATATTATATCGCAGCTTGATTTCTTTCTCTATTAATATGGCCAATCGAGCATTCTGGAAGCTTTTGCATCCAATATCTTATAACAAACAGCATACTACCCAATATGAAGATGCCAACTCTTACAATTTACTCGATTATTCGATTATCTTTTTTTATTTTATTTTTTATTTCACTTTGAGAGCTAATTTAATTATTTTTCATATATTTAACTTTTTTCTTTTCTTTTCCAACTCATTGATTTATCTCTTATATAATAAAATAGACATTTTACCCTTCTCTTTGTACCATATCAGCGGACATAATAATTTCACAAATATTTTAAAGTAAAAACATTATCAGTTCAAATACAATTAAAATAAATTATTGTTCATACATCCAAATATTTAATTAAAATTAAACACTAAACTCTTAATATATACAATTTTTATTGTAACTTAATATTTTTTATCACGTAAGATACACTTAAAAACACTAAGGCTTTTGAAATATTTAGTAATAAATTAAATATTTTTTTTAGATATGAATTTTCTCAATACATATAAATGGTAATTCAATAGCATACTATTTTGGATAATGAAAATCATCAAATTAATGGATTTTGTTTCTAAGTTATGTTTAATTATATATTAATTGATATTTAATTTATGGTTAATTACATTTAATAAATCTAATTATTATTAAGTGTAGTAATTAATCATTAGTCAAAATTATAAAAACATAACAAATAAGTAAAGTTACGTAAAATTATGAAGAATATGACACATAAAAAATTTACTTCTCACATAATAGTATAGATCAAAATTATTTTGAACAAAATTATCCCTTATATATTATTTGTGAAGTGATTTTGCCACATCCTTTATATATTATATCCGAAGTGATTTTGACATGTGTCATTACCACAATCAATTTCACCAGAAAAATGATGACATGTCCATTAATAACGATGACATGACTTAGAATTAATTGTGACATGTACATTTACATTTAATTTTAGTATAAATTTTTGGTAATGCTTTAGAATATGGTAATCCTACTATATATTAAATGATAAGTCATTTTAGTGTTTTTTGCTTAGGTGTCGTTCATAAGTGAAGTTTAAAATTAATTCTCTTAATTTGATTGGTTGTTAATTAAAGATTATAAAAGAAAACTAATAATAGAATTACCTTATCTAACTATCTTACCAAATAAGCAACCAAACAACTTAAATACAAACAAATTAACATAATTTATTCACTGAAGCAATGTATTATCATAGATTACATTATATTAATTATTTAAATATAAACGGATATTTGCAAATCTTAGTCTCTCCGACAAAAATGATGATCCCCAAATATATAAATATGTTATATTTTTAGTAAATATAATAATAAATATAAACCTAATAATAATTACACCACTATATACATATATTCTAAAAATTTATCAAATATAATTAAAAAAATAAATCATTTTCAATGACAAAATGGTATTATAGTTGAATTATATTAATACGAGACTAGAGTTATTCTATTCATATAGCTCTGAGTATAATAAAATTGGCATGTTAATTTTTAATAATAAGAAAATAGACATAAATAAAAAACATAAGTGAATAATAATAAAACCTTTTGTAGTATTCTTCGTGATTTTATATTTGTTCCTCCATCATTTTTATTTGTATACCGAAATATTTTTTACGTATTAGTATAATTGTAAACTAATTAGTTTTAGGTGTTTATACAACATAAAAATTGAGCAAGGAAATAAATATAAATGATAAGTCTAAATTTATTAATGTCGAAAATGTAAAATATAACGTAAATTAAATTTAAAATGAAATTATTTTTAAATAATTATAAGTATTTTTTGCGGTATAAATTTTTTTGAAAATGTATGATAACAAAGTTATAAAAAAAATTTATACAAATAGAAACATGTTATTTTGATATATCTATGTCTAATGACATAACATTATATAAAAATTTAGATTTTTTAGGATATATAATTAGTTAATCCTTTTTTTTGAAATAGAATAAATCAGATTTACTTAAAATAGGTGTGTATTGAAGTAATTTAAAAAAAATATTTTTAAAAAATATTTATTTTTTAATGAAAGTCTTGGTCAAATGAATCAATATTTGATAAGATAGTGTGAAAATTGGAGAGAATTTAATAATGAATTTATTTGGTTAACTTTTGTGAATTCAAGTGTGAGTTTTACGTTAAAAACTAAATATAAAAATATGTGAGATAGGGAGAGATGTTGATGATGAGGAGTGAGGGTTATGATCATGATGGATATGAGAGTGAAATAAGTGAGAGACTGAATGTAAGTGAGATAGATCATGAAATTATTTATTAATATTATGTGAGAGTGTTTTAAAGATTTAAAAAAATCTGGTAAAAAGTTTGTAACAAAAAAAGAAATATAGAAAGTTTGAAAGTAAAATATTGAGGGTTATAATAAAGATGGAGTAAAAGAACGAATATAAATGATTGTGAGAGAGTGAATGTAAGTTTGAAAGATTTTAAGTTTATTTGATCAAGAGAGAAAAGGAAAAAGGGAAAGCAAGCGAAAAAGGTACAATGGTAGACAAAAAGAACGGGAAGAGAGATACAAAAGAGACAGAATGAATGTGTGAAAAAAACAAGAAAAAACGAAATGAATAAGATAGAAAGATATACATGGAAAAACGGAATACTTACGTTGAAGAGAAAGAGAGTTACAATACATTTATAAATTCACATCAATTTTTATGCAATGTATTGTTATATTAATGTGCGTCCACCTAGTAACTCATAAATTATCATTAACATAAGAATAAATAATATAATAGTAGAAATAGAAATATAACAATATTTAAAAGAAATTAAAATATTTTTCAAGTCTATTTTTTATAATTATATAATTTTTATTAATATTTTTTTGCAAATAGTTATGCGGTTTTTATAAAAATTATAATTTTCTAATCCAAATACCATCAATTTTATTTATAACATCTATAATTTTTAAAAATATATTTAATTTTATAATTCGATAATTATATACCTGACAAATTTTTTTTCTTAATTTTATAGAATCAGAGTTAATATATTTTAACCAAAAAAAGATAAAAAAAATCTTTCCAAAATTTTAATTTTAAATATGTATATAAACTATTAAATGTAAATTTAAATAGAAGTTTTTTATTTTATATTAATTGTTACATATAATTAACGTAATATTAATAATGTAACAAAATACAAAACTATAAAATTAACTAAAGTTGATTTTAAATATAATTTTATTTTATTTTTAAAAAAATCTGCACATTGTTCAGGAAAATACCTAGTGTTATCTCTATAATCAGTTTCACAAAAAAAAATGTGACATGACTACTAATATTTAAGTTAAACTTTTTATATCAACCCTATGTTTTCGAACAGGGTAAAATATTGATAAAGTTCTTAATTTTCGGTTTCTAAAACTCGCGGATCTTCTAATTTATTTTTCTTTAAGCAAGCTTTGTAATCATAAACAAGAAGGCGTTCTCCATCACCTCTTACGTTTTCTTGGTTTAGTATTCTTCTGTCAAGTAAAGTAAGCACCTAAATGATCCGCAACATGTATTCTAAATATCTCTGCCACCACACCATGGACCCGTCACACATGGCACCATCGGAATACATCCAACCAAAACGCCATAATCATATGAGTATTTCACGTTGGTAAATAAAAGTTAGGCACAGTTCAATCTAATCTTTATCTTTTTCTTAATATACAAAGCAACGACATCTCTCATCTCCTAGATATCACAGAAACATTAAAGTCCTCCAATCATTTTCCTCTTATCTCCAATGGCAACAGAAACCGTACCGAACCATGCCAAGACCGAGACAGAGCCAACTGAGTTCAAGAAGAATCAGAAACGGTACCAAGACCTGATCTCCACGTTTCCTCACGTGGAAGGCTGGTGGCCGAAAGAGCCCCTGATTGGGTACGGTGGTCACTGGTGGATACAGAATCTCCTTGAGGTTCTCTTTACACACGAGAGTTCTACCAAGCTCGACCTGGCGACTTCTTCATCTGTAGCTACCCAAAGACAGGTACCACTTGGCTTAAATCACTAGCATTCGCAATAGCTAACCGGTCTCGCTTCGAAGACGATTCCACAAACCCTATCCTCAAAAGTAACTCTCATGAGCTCGTTCCTTTCCTCGAGGTGAAGTTCTCTTTTTACCCTCACATTGGTGTTATCAAAGATAAAGGGAACACTCTTTTCGCAACTCATTTGCCACATGAGTTATTACCCGATTCGGTTGTGAAGTGGGGTTGTAAGATGGTCTACATCTGGAGAGACCCAAAGGACAGTTTCATCTCCTTGTGGCATTTCTCCCAGAAGAAAAGGTCAGAAAGTGGGGTACTCAAGGGTATTGAGGAGTGTTTTGATATGTTCTGTAAAGGTTTATCTGTGTACGGTCCTTATCTTGATCATGTCTTGGGATATTGGAAAGCTCACCAAGAGAATCCAAATCAGATTTTGTTCCTTAAGTACGAGACTTTGAGTGCTGATCCTTTGCCTCATGTGAAGAGATTGGCTGAGTTCATGGGTTATGGATTCACAGCTGAGGAAGAGAAAAATGGAGTTGTTGAGAAAGTAGTGAACCTTTGCAGCTTCGAGACGGTGAAGAATCTTGAAGTTAACAAAGGAGATGATAAAGAGAGAGAAGATCATCCTTCTCCTTTTCCAAATAGCGCGTATTTCAGGAAAGGAAAGATCGGAGACTGGGAAAATTATCTGACTCCAGACATGGCAGCTCGTATGGATGGGTTAATGCAAGAGAAATTCAAGGGTACTGGTTTGCTTGAAAATGGTCACTAAATGAGCTGATTTTTGTTTAAAGCATATGTTTGCTTCTTTCGTCGCTTTGATCATATACGTACGTTATATATTGGATTGAATAAAACATGTTTCTGTTTCACAAAGACAGTAACATCTGTCTGAATATCAGTCCAGAGTGTATTATCACCCTTTCTTCAAAAAAAAAAATTATCATCAAAATGTTCAGATTAAGATTAGCTTCAAGAAAATAGAAAGTAACTTCCCTCACTAAACCAAGCCGGTTTGTTCATTGGTTACCAAATCATATAGATTAATGACTTAATTCTATTAGATTACATTAATCAAACAGAGGTATTGCAAATTTTTAATCTCAGAAATTAAATATAGAATCAAAAGATTAATCTGCATAAAGTATTAAAAACATTTTTATTTCTCTTCATTGTAAAGAAATATAGAAAGTCTCATCTAATGAGCTCAGACTCTAAACTACTGATTTTATCTACAAATACCTTATGAGAACTAACAGAGCTCATCTTTCTTTTTTTTTTTTTTTATTATTAAATATTATATATAAAATCTGCCCGAAAATTCGGGAATCAGAGACGGTTACAAGCTTGTTTTGAACAAAATATCGAAATCAAACTATTACAAGCCTAGCTTCGCCCACCCACTAAACCCGCACATTCCGCTAGTTTGTTTTTCAAAATCAATCGAAATCGGTAGCCGTTCTCAACCATTGACGCCAACACAGTCTGCACAAAATCGCTTGCAAAGAAGTCTCCAAACCTACACAAGAAAGTCAGCTGCACCACCGTGGAAGGAACACGCCCAGCACCACGACGCCGGGATGTGAGCTAAGACGAGATGCTGACTCATAGACGGCAATGACTCCCCGAGAACCGTCTAAGCATCTAAGGTCTTTGAGAACCAAAGAACCTATTTCTTGTACACGAACAAATAACCTCCAGAGCCAACGGAGATAAAACAAAGATAAAACGAGAGACTTTAACTCCTAAAGTCAGGCCGTCACCTAACTCTCGGAGAATCGGAGCAGAATACTGGGAGAGAGAGCATCGAAAGAGTAGCGGGGAACTAGAAAACCATCTTATGGCCATAGACGACCACTCGAGTGGAACCGGAAACACCACGCGAAGAAGCCAACATCGGACACTTTCACCACGATTACATCCGACATCGAACCTCGACTCCCAAGCAACAACACGCGATACTTTAAACGAGAGGTCGAGAGAGTTTAGGGATGAGCTCATCTTTATTCATACACAACTTCATTGTATTGTTTATTTTTATTAACGTTACATCTCAATATTTGTTGACTATACTTGTTGCAAATCTTACACTATCCAACGTGTAAGTAAAAACGATTGATGTTTCCTTTTATAGTAATTGCTTTAAACTCTTGCAACTTCAAAGACACTAAACCTTTGCTAACTCAAGTCCTTCTCATCCATGACCTGATTCCGAAGCAGCTTGGTCTATGTTTTCTCTGCATAACCGAGCTCTTACCTCCACTAAAACCGCTTGGTTTGTCGTCGCTCTTATTGTCTTCTGTTTGGCTGAAAAGAGTTGTGGCTTGTGAGATTGTTATCCTTGTGACCTGTTCAGAGTTTGTTGTAAGATCCATCTTGGGAGATGCAGCAAAAGAACTTGATCCACCTCCCCTATAAACAGCTCTAAAAAGGTTAAAAAAACATTTAGTCAAAAGCAAACGGCTTTCTTTAGATTCTTTAGTCTTGTTTACCTATTGCTGTTGCTGTTCTTGTAGTTGTGATAATCAAGAACTTCAGTTTTAGGATCTTGGATACAAACTTTGCTACTCGAAACAATCGCAATGCTCTCTGAATGTTGTTTTGTTGATGATGATGACCCTTCTTCTTCTTCCTCTGAAGAGGTTGAGGTATTCCTATCTGTTCTTGATTTTCTAACCATAGACATCACTCTCTCTAGTGTCCCTAATGCTTGTTTCACCTCTGGACTTACGCAGAAAAGCGTTTTACCATTGTTGTTTTGAATCTTCTTCCCAATGAAATTTTCTTCCTCTTCTGAGGAAGAATAAGAAGTAACACTTTTATCTTCTTCTTCATTATCATCATCATCACATTCTTCTTCCTCAATCTCATGAACATTTCCTCTGAGAGGCCGTGCAAGTTCACTTGCTTGGAAATTTTCATCAGTGTTATCAGTAGAACACATAGCTTCACGTATACGAGTGTACAATGGATCTTCTAAAACTCTTATGTAATCTTCTGATTTAGCCACAGAACCAATAGTCTATGTACACATTCAAAATCAAACCACATTATACAAACTACCAACCTGAGAAAATTCAAGGTTTAATGAATTAAATAAGCTGAAAATAACCTTCTTGAAAAGTCTGAAACCGTTGCCAAGGAGCTGCCTAGACATAAAATTTATCAGAGATGGAGGGATCAAGTCCAGCTTTAGATCGAACTCCGCTATGTATCTACAAAAGTGAAGTTTCAAAGTTACAAGAAACCAAAGATCATGTCATGTCTCTAATTATATAATGTATCACTCACCTCAAGTAACTCCTCTCAGGAGACACCTTTTGTATAGCAACTCCACCTACTAAATCAATCCTCACAGCATTCACTGCTTCTTCAGATATACCAATGCTCTCTGCTTCTAATGCTGAGATCTAAAAGATGATACCAACATCATAGAGTAGTTTAGGATGATGTAAAAGCATAAAGAACAAATTAAATAATCTAACATGGTTTTACCGAGTTGAGTAGGATGATAGCTAAACCATCTTTAAAGTATTCAAATAAGAAAAATTGCACAATAGCTTCTCTGTTTGTCATTGGCCATGGTACTTTCACCCTTTCTTCCACAAAAAATAATATCATCAAAATGTCCAGATTTAGATTAGCTTCAAGAAAATAGAAAGCAACTGACCTCACTAAACATATCTGTTCATTGATCCGAAACTTTTGCAAACATTTAGTTTGTAAGATCCTGAATGCTGGAAATACAGAGTTTGGCCACCTAAAAAACATAGAAACCATTACTTTCCTTCTCAGATTGATAGGTTGTTTGTATGGATTTTTTTATATCAAGTGTTCGAAACAGATATATACATAAACAAAACAACATTCTCACCATTTCTCATATAGTGATGATTCCCATGATACACATAGACCTGCATAAACGCATTTAGAACCAACTTGAAAACCTTTTTTTATTTGTATCAGTTATAAGAAAACTTACAGTCTTGGATAGGCCCATCCATGTAACCTTCAACGAGCAACGTGTGAAATGGACTTCCATCAAATCCTTCACGGTACATAACACGACAATCTTCATGATCATGCTTCACCTGCAAACAAGAACCAAAAACAAAAATAGTTTGCTAACATGATGCCAATTCTGTTTTCAAAGTTAAAGACGCACATCAATAAAAAAACATACTTTCCAATCACCAGAAGATGCTTCGTTGGTTGATCTAGACAAATCTTGATCCTCTGTTGATACACTCCTAAGCTTCTCAAGTATACTAGATAAATCAGCTACTCTTTTATCCAATATATCCACATTACACTCTGTGATCAAACATGAAAAAGAAACAATATTATAATAATGTATCAAATGAGACTTTCCTCACATAGCAAGTAAGAAACAAGGAGAACCTTCTTGATTTAGCTGATTTCTGATTAGGGTTTTTAGAGTTTGCTCATTAGTTAGCTCAGGAGACGCCAAGGTCTTGTCAAGTCTCTCTCTGTACTCACAAATCTCTCGTTTTTTCTCCATATTAGGAAAATAAATGAATCCTCAAATCAAAACCCTGGAAAGAAGGAGGAGGAGGAGGAGAAAGACCTTAAACGTACGGCAGTTACAAGGAAGCTTAGAGTTTTGAGCTTTGCCAGAAATAAACGCAGCTAGCTGCTGATATGCGTAACCTACGAGGTGGGCAAAGAACGTGGAGATGTTCTTATCAATTACTAGTAGTAAGATACGTTCTTTCATTTTCTCGGGCAAATACAAGAAAAAGATCTGGGAAAGAAGAAAAAGGAGAATGTCTCATTTCCCAAAATGCTTAGAGTTTGCGCGCCCATTCCAAAGGGATTGAGTTTTCTTGATAGACTTAAACGGACGAGGTCGGTTAAGTGTCGCTGTCAGTTAACTTGTCTGGATGATCTTCTGTCTTTTTTTAATCAGAAACAAAATACAATCTGAAATTATAAATATTTTAATTTTATTTAGTTTGATAATTCATTTATAAATTGTGTAAAACTACCATAAATTTTACAGAACAAACAAATATAGATTACTTTGATATTTCACTATAAATCTTAAAAATGTCAATGACACCAAAGGATATAGTATCAGATTTCGAGTCGATGCAGAGGAAATGAATGCATTTACATACTATGAATTTTCGGATAAGAATGTGCATTTATAAATTGTGTAAAACTACCATAAATTTTACAGAACAAACAAATATAGATTACTTTGATATTTCACTATAAATATTAAATCGGATAAGAATGTGCATGAATGAAGTTTTATTTTGAAAATTTGTGTAAATGCATGAATCCAAGTCTGAATCTACTACATAAAAAGAAAACAGAACAATAATGTTGATACTGATTATATCTAGAATATAAAAATAAGCGTGTAATTGTGATGCATCTAGGCTCTTTTGAAACCATGTGGTTATATGATGAGTTAAGTTAATGTAATGTAGAAATTGTTTTGTAAGGAAGTTGAGTTAAGCTCGAATCTCTGAAGTATAAATCTTCATTCTCATCCGTGTTATCTCCTCTGTCTTGTTATCATTCTATCGACGTAGCTGCAGGTTTTCAAAATCATATCCTGTTGTAGTGAACATGAACAGTCTAAGATCATGTGTTTCAAACTCGAATTCAATATTAAAACTTGAAGATTTGCCCTACTAAAGACAAGTGCTGTATACTGCGACTAACACCATATATCATTCGGAGAAAGAGTAACATGAAGTATTAAAGTTTCCAGTGTTATAGTTTTAGACAGCCATTGGTTTTCACAACACATAGTAAGAAAAAGAAAAGGTCTCACATAGTTTTGATAACACTTTGCTAACTACTGACCGCAGCAACCACCGCCATTGTTCTGTTGGATTGGCTGACCTTTCATTTGGACAGTTCCACTTCCAGATGTCTTGTTTGCATTCGTCTGGCTTCCCATTCTGAAATAGAGTAATACGAATATATGGTCAGACTCAAGTTAATGTATATACAATGAGATCAAAACACATGAAGAAAAAACAATCATATGCTATAATAACAGAAACTCAAGTACACAAGCTTGAGGCGGAGGCTACAAGAGATTGATAAAGCAGTAACTTTGTATATTTGCTATTAGTCATCAAGACTCTAAAACGTATCTTTACATGAATGGTTCATTTCATGAATTGCAGCAGCAAAAACTCAGAGAATGTTTTGATATATAATGGCAGTTGAGGAGAATAGTTTAGACCAGCTTCACTATGGAATATATAGAGTAAAATATTGCAGAAACTTACTTCTTCTTGATCTCGCCAGCAATAGTTAAGAATGCCTGTTCGACGTTGATAGAATCCTTAGCACTTGTCTCGAGAAAGGGTATTCCGAGCTCATCTGCTAAGGCCTGTAGTGTTTTTATTTGGAATAGATTAAACGTAAGATAAGCAAGTCATAGCTTTTTGGACTTTGGTCAATGATCATATATACATTCATAGTCCCATAAGTTGGGGTATATAACAATATCAAATATCAATGATCGTAATATCATCACGCGGTTAAATATGTTTGCTACAATGATAGGATCAAATGAAAAAGGTAATGTTCTATGTAAACAATGCTTGCAACACTCATCTAGATGCATAATGGAAACACGCCCAATAAAAAATATAAAAAAGTGAGAGGAAATTACTAATAGTGGATGTGAGAGCTAACCTTTCCAGTTTCGGTGGAAACAACTTTACTTTCAACCATATCATTCTTGTTACCGATAAGAAGCTTGCATACACTGTCATTAGCATATCTGTCAATCTCACTCAACCACTGCTTCACGTTGTTGAAGCTCTCCATCTCAGTACAGTCATACACAATCTGTTACAGTATAATCATATTAAGTCTCATTTTGAACACTGATGGTTAAACTAGTCTTCCAGGATTCTCTTTCCCAGTAACAAACATGTTCCAGAGTAAACAAGCAGATCGAATATGATAAAATTGCCACCAGGTATAGACTAAACCACTTAAAAAAAGAAACTGAACAAAACACTAATATAGTCAAACAAAAAGCATGTAAGTAATGTAATTAAGCGAATAAGAGTTCTCACAATGATTCCATGAGCTCCTCTATAGTAGCTGCTAGTGATAGTCCTGAAACGCTCTTGCCCAGCAGTGTCCCACTGAAGATAGCAGAAACAGTTAACACAATGATTATCCTAAAAAAATATTATATAGAAACAATCTCTCTCACTGAAAAGAACCATCAACAGTAGATGATTTCAAACATATAATTAATCTCGAAACAAGTTGTAAAAATGCTCTTAAACTCACGATTTGAAGCTTAATCGTCTTCCCATCCTGCTCAATCGTCCTAATTTTCTGCAATTTCGAACCACATTATAAGCAACTTTGTGACAAACAATCAAATCTCATATTAAAACTATATAGTATATGATCAATTAGGGTTGTGAATGGAACTGACGAAGTCAACACCAATGGTACTTATGTAACTGTCAATGTACGCATCATCCTGTTAAACAAAATCAAATCGAAGATCAGCGAATCTCATAACGTTTCAAAGGAGATTCAAAATCAAGTCAAACTCACAGCGAATCGAAGAAGGAGACATGATTTTCCAACAGATGAGTCACCGATCAACAAAAGCTTGAACAAATAATCGCTAAAAGACGCACAAAAAAAGGAAGAAGCTGATTACGATTGAGCTTGTGAAAATCGAGGAGCGTAAGACAAATGCGATAGATGGAAACACTTACTACTCGTTGCTCATGGTTTCTCAATAGGCCTTTACTTTGTTTTCCGATTGATCCCAAATTTTTTCCAGGAAAACGCAAACGCAAACGGAAAAGGAGCTTCGTCGGTTATAGGAGGCGTGTCAATTAAAGTGCCATGAACATTGATTGAACCCCACGACTTCAAATATTGATTATTTTTCTCCCTGCAGTTTTAAAATATTGAATTAATTCCTTTCCTTGTCCGTGACAATAAAGAAGCTTTTTTGACCATGTCTCAGTAATTTCTTTTTCGTAGTTGAAACTTGAGACTTGATATTCTTATATGGGCTTTTTATAGATAGTGGGCCATTAGGGCTCAAATCTTGGAGTTAGACGAAGCCTTCTAGTGTTTTTAGAGGGTGAGAGATTGCAAAAACAATATGTAGGCAACAATTTCACTAGAGCGTCACCAACAAAGTATGTATATTTCAGAGGCATTTAAGGCATCATTATTATTGGGATACAGAGATGAGTAAAAACAGTAATCTCGTGCCCTTAAGGCTGATAACACTAATCTTCTATGGCTCCCAAAACCTCTTATACCTTTATTTCATAATTTCTTTTTGATCAAAAACCCAAACTCCCAAATCAAATCCTCTCCGGTGTTCAAAACTAAACTCTAATCCCCCTTATGAATTAGTGAACCCTTGGACAAATATTTAAGTTCTATACCTTTCAAATTTCAGAAAAAATATATTTTAAAATCGTTTTAATCATATTTTGATGATTTGGGCAAATATTTAAGTTCTATACCTTTCAAATTTCAGAAAAACTATATTTTAAAATCGTTTTAATCCTATTTTGATGATTTTCACGAAAATATAAAAAAAAAATTGAATTTTTAAAATATTTTTATCAAATTCTATAAATCAAATAAAAAATATTCACGTTTCCAGTTTAATTTTATGATTTTTTGACTGACATTTCCTATATATTAAAAGAGAAATATTTGAAAAATTGTAACTAGTCAATTACATTCAATTGAAAAATAAGTAGCTCCACATTCAGTTTTTATATGTAACTAGATACATTCCATTATGTGGCTAGATAGCTAAAGATCGCTATAAATTTAGCTATGAAGCTAAAAAAAAAATAGTTTGTTGCCATCTGTCGCCGTGGCTAATTAGTATGGCTACAGAAATGATGTCGCTAGTCCTTAGCTATTTTGACCAATTCTTGTAGTGTTTGTGACCTAGCAAAACCAGATATAGACAAAAACCAAATTTAAAACTCCGTGATTTTTTCATCAAAATATCCTAAGTTATAAATACACTACATGATAACGAAAGAAAACAATATCAATCTTCCTCTTATACAAGAATCAAAAAAGAGAAGAAAAGAAAAGAGAGAGATTCATAAAAAAGAAATGGCAATCGTGGGACCTCAATTTTGTGCACCGTACCCAGTAGATTTGGGAATCGTACGTAAGGTGATGACGATAACAGATGGTAACTTCGCCGTCACTGACGTCAACGGAAACCTCCTTTTCAAAGTCAAAGAACCATTGTTTAGCCTCTCCGACAAAAGATTCTTACTGGACGCTTCAGACACTCCCATTTTGACCTTGAGAGAAAACGTAAGCACACGAACAGTTTTGTTTTATAACGTGCATGGATTAAGAACCATAATCTAACTTGCATGAACCATTTATTTTTATTTTTTTGTAGAAGGTGAGCCTGCACGATAGGTGGCAAGTATTTAGAGGAAAGAGCACAAACCAAAATGATTTGGTGTACACGTTGAAACGATCGTCGATGCTTCAGTTGGTGAAGCCAAAACTAGACGTGTTTTTGGCTCAAAACAAGGAAATGAAGGTATGCGACTTCCATGTCAAAGGAAGTTGGATCGACCGGTCATGTGTCGTCTACGCTGGCAAATCTGATGCCATTGTTGCTCAGGTAATCATGTTTTATCAATCATTGGTTCAAAGTATAGCTAGTTCATATACATAATCGGTTTTGGATACAAACATTCATTTGATCTTCAAATTTTAAAGAACTATGCATAATATCGCATGGCCCTAAATTATATTAAAAAAGTTATTAAGATTATCTTAAAAATGTTAAGGCTTCTTAAGTCTCAGATCCGACCATGTGTTGTATGAATTGATTTTTGTTGTGTTATGATTTTTCAGATGCACAAGAAACATACAGCGCAGAGCATATTATTAGGGAAGAGTAACTTCTCGGTCACGGTTTATCCGAATGTTGATTATGCGTTTATAGTCTCTCTCATTGTAATTCTCGATGACATTAACCGAGAAGATTCTGAAGACTAAACACAAATTTAGTGGACGATCCTTTTTGTAACATGAACTAAGAATTCGTGAATCTTGAGGTTTTGTATTAATATGAACTTGAATATGATAATTTCATTTCATGAATACAATTATCTTTGTCTCCACAGAGGATATTGACACAAAGTTTTTAGGGTTATTAAGTTCCTTGAATACTCTTGATTAGTGCAACATTTGGCTTTGGTAGCTTTTGCGGAGAGCTGACACTTGTTACAAGCTTAAGCTTATTCACCAATCACTCTTTCCATATCCTTCATTTGCTTCAAACTTATCTTTTTTTCTGGTAAGTGTCATTTATGGTTTAGGTTTGATTGTATGATGCCTGTAATTTATCCAGATATGTAAAAAAAAAAAGGATATTATCAATGGTTCAACATGAGAGAAAGATTGAGAAACTTTCAAATGTTTGTTTTGATAAACAATATTGGTAAAGATAAAAGGTGTTTTTCTTTTTATACAAAGCAAATGGAGTGATCATATTGTATATTCCAGCAAGCAAAATAGCTCTACATGTCTGCCACGGATGATGATGATCCCAATCCAATCTTGAATGAGAACTTGATGCATGTTAGCTCCTTCTTGTGCCCATCAAGCATCTTCATCGTAAGCGAGTATTTACCCTATGAGAAAAATAACATAATTAGATTGTAATCTCCTTAAATTCAGAATCTGATGATAATATTAAGCAATCTTGACAGATTAAGTTCTTCCTTCTACAGAAGACATAAACTAGGCCATTTGTTCTGTTTGCTATAGGATAACATCAAGTTCAAATGGGATGGCACAATACACAAATTAAATCAAACGATCGAAGAAGAAAATAACACTCAAGAAACTTACAGGGGGAGTGTAACCGGGTAGAACTTGCGTGTGCGATACCAAGAAATCTCCAATTGCTACTGGACATTTGGTCTCATCACAAAGATCATGTGTCTCAGAATGAATATGCCATCCAAAGTATGAAACTTCGATCTCCAACTTTCCACGTGAGATCACATTGTCTTCATATATACAAACCAAACAAAAAAAATAATTAAAACAGAAACTCTCTTTAAATCTATCAGCTAACAACTAGAAAACAAGAACAATAAAAATCGTTCTTACAATATAACAAGCTCAAGTTTGCAACACTTACAATAGCTACAGACGCTATAGAACAAAAAAAACAAAAGAACCGAAGAAACAAAGATCTGTGTTTCATATATTGTAATGAATGTGTACCTGTGTTAGCAGAGATGCTGAAAGTGGCTGCCTCACCTCGAGCTACTGGATCAGGCCTTATATCAACTCCTTTTACCTTTACTTCATACTCTTCATTTTTATCTGCAACCAAAACACAAAACAACCTAGATCAACATCAAAGGTAACTAAAACTAAGATTCAAACATCAAACCCATCTCAAAGACCATCAAATTACAACGACCCAGAATCGAAATTCATCGACTTTATCACAACTATATCAAAATACTATAAAAAAAGACGAAACACAGTTGGATTCAAAGAGACCAAACATACCACAGTAACTGACATCGGTGGCTCTAACAATCGTCGAGACGAAGAGAAGACAAGAGATAGCGAGAGCAAATCTCGACATGATTGATAGATTCTCGGAGGAGAAAGAAGAGATTTTTTTTTTCGGAGTTTGAGATGATGATTAGAGAGGGACAAGGAGAGTAAACGAAGCAAAGAGACAGAACATACATGCTTAAATCGGGATTCTCGTTTCACAAAGAATGTTTGATAGATCTTGGCCGTTCGTTCTGGTGGGGTCTTTAATTCCTTAAAATAGACGGTTTAGATTGTGTAGTGAATCTATCAGGTGTGTGGTTAACAGCAGAGGATTTAGCAGTGAACAAACCGTTTGGTGGGATTTTTCTGTATAATTTTCAATTGTGGTTATCAGTTGGCACCAAAAAATAGTTGGAATTTGCCAGCTCAGATTTTGACGTTATTGAATAATACAGCTCACAAATTGACCATTGTTTTGGAAAAATAAAATAAAATAATTGGTTCAATAAATCTGCTTCTTCTCTTCACTTCTAACAATGAAAAGATATTTCATGGAGAAATTTCAGTGTTTTGATTGATTTTTTCTTAAAAAAAATATTTACACTAAAATTTTACTTATTAGCAATTATGTCATTTTATTAATAATACATAAATTAATACAGATAATATCTTGTATTATAATATTATTAGATGTTGATTTTCACATAGTATAGAAACGTCTAAATCTTATTTGTAAGGAAACAAATTTATGGTTATAGATTTATATATGTTAATCGCATAGTTATAAACTTATAATAGTTTAAATTAATTTGAAAAAATTATCAATTTTTTTGGTATTATCCTAGATAAACTATTAGTCTGAAAACATATAATCACATAATTAAATTTGGTTCCAATTGTCACATACAACATTTTCCAATTCTCGCATTCAACATTTTTGTTGTTTTCTCGGATATATCTGATTAAACTGGAAAGATATAAAAAAAAATAGTATGGTTTAGATTACACATAATATTTTATTCAAATTGAATATTTATTTTTCAAAAAAAAATTATTAGTGTGAAATTTAATTTAATTTTTGAAGAATATATATTTAATTACGTGTTTTTCTGTAAAAATAGATCTTGTTTTTTTTCAAAGAAAAACTATTAGTGTGAAAGTTAATTTAATTTTCGTAAGACTATATTTTTTTTTTGGGACAAATTTTTCGTAAGACTATATAATTACGTGTTTTCTATAAAAATAGAGCTCATTTAATCATATTTTTATTTTGGGCCGTTTAGTTCAGGCCCATAATTGAAAGGCTTATTTGATTAATTAACTCGGAGACACAACTGGGAGGGAGAAGTTTCGAACCAGCTTTTGTTTTTGTTTTCTTGTCCTTTTGACAGATGGCTAGATTCCTTCTCCTCTGTTGCCTCTTCACGGCGGCGCTGACGTCATCACTGACGGAAGCCGGCGACAACAATAGAGTCTACTCGCCTTGCTCAGATTCAACTGTCGCTATCGGCGATGGATTCACTTTCGGCATTGCCTTCGCTGCTAGAGATTCTTTCTTTGGTACAAATCGTTCCGTTCAGTACTCTCCCTGCGATCATCGCCGTCTCTCCCTCAACGGAAACTCTGAGCTCGCCGTGTTTAGACCTAAAGTCGATGAGATCACACTCCTTACCATCAATACCTCCTCGAGCTCCTCTAGTTACCGCCCGGTTCGTTCTCAATCTCCGATTATCGTGGTGAATTTAGGGTTTAAATTGTAGGGTTTGATCGGATTAGAAAGGATTATGACCATCGTAGGGGAGTTTCAGTTGGATCTGAATTTCTCAGACAAGATTAGTTTAGTTTTGTTGACTTGTCGACTTTGCTTTGTTGACAAGTTTGGTCGTTGTCTTGATGCTAAGCAAATGGTGTTCACATCTCTTTTATCAGTGTACAGTGATCTCATATATATGTTGTGGAACTAATCTCTGTTTTTGGAAGGTCTAGTTTGGTTTCTTGCTGCATTTGTTATAAGCATTGGTTTAGATATCCCTGATTATTGTAACTTCACTGCCGAACATAATATGCGATTACTAAAGTTATTGTTTTTGCTCAGAAGTTTAGGTCTTGAATGTGTGTTAGCTTATGATGTGGTCCGGAGATATCTCTGGCAAAAGTGAATTATAGATGCTTCATTGCCAAACATGATATGGGATTACTAAATTGTTGTTTTGCTTAGAAGTTGAGGTCTTGAATGTGTGTGTTAGCATACCAAATTACTGGTTTTCATGATGATACTTTGTGATTCCAGGATTCTTCGAAGGGATACATGGTAGCATTCGCTGGTGCTAAATATGCTGCAAGATCAGTTCCAATTATGGTTGCAGACAACGATCACGTCGTCACAAGCTTCACCCTTGTAATACAATAAGCTCCAGATTTTCATCTTATCGAGACTTCTACCTCTATGATTACATGTGTTAATCTTTATTTTGTGCTATTTATTTTCCAGGTTCTTGAGTTTCAGAAAGGCAGGCTTGAGAACTTGTTCTGGAAGAAAGACGGATGCTCCAAATGTTCTGGAGATGCCAAATTCGTGTGCCTCAACAAAGAACAATGCGCGATTAAAAGGCAAAGCTGCAAGAACCAAGGAGGGCAAGTAGATTGCAGCTTGGGGATCCAATTAGCGTTCTCAGGAACAGATAAGCACTACACCGCGTTGAACTCCTGGTACGAGGTTGCAAATCTGAAGCAGTACTCGCTTTACGGTCTATACTCTAATCTAAAGGATTCACTAAGCAGCCAATTCAGCAACATCTTCTGATGAGTTTCTTTCTCCTTTGTGTGTTGATTTGTATTATTACATGGTCTCTCTCGCATGATGTATGTATGATATATATTTACAGTATTCTACTACATGGCTTGTAACTTTTTCATGAACAAAGATTTACTCTACCAAGTGAGTTTGGTTTAAAATGCTCATATACCTCAGCCAAACACAACAACAAACCAAAATCACATAAAGTGCAACAAAATAATAGCAACGAATCATAAATAGATACAAAGAAAATATTCTACTAACTTTCTCGAAACACAAAGCTGGTTTGATTAAAATTGTTTCAAAGAAAGAAAAGATTTGCAAATTACCAAACTCACTTCAACGTAATAGAAGACGCCTTGCCTGAGGAGGACTAGGTGGTGGCAATTGACCCGAAGGTTGCTGATTTCCTCCACCACCACCACCGCCACCTCCGTTGTTGTTCCATGGTTTAACAACAACAAGAACCACAACAACTATGATGATGAGGAGAATGATAATAGCGTAACATGTCCATTTACGTGTGTTCTTCTGGTAAACCCGAGCGGTCTGCAGCTGCTCAGTTCCTCCACGGATAAAGGAGCTAGCTCGCCCCACGTGGCTCTCGATGTCGTCGAGCTGAGCTCCCTGGTGCTCGACCATCACCGCCATGTCTAAGAAAACTTGATGAAGCTCCCTGAGATTCTTCTCAATGTCTTTAACAGCGTCATGCCTTTCTTGGATTTCATTGATGGTGTCTAAAACACGTCCTCTTCCTTGTTCTTGTATTGCTTTCTGCAAGAATCTCTCACTTTCTCCTGCAGTAAAAACAGTTCCCCAATGTTACACACTACTCACCTAAGAACATGTCTAGTTTCTGATATCAAGTTATCTTCAAATCCAGGTGTAGGCATGCGGATTTAAACATAACCAAACCGAAGCGGTTCAGGTTTTGGTTCAATTCGACGATTAATAAAATCGGCTATTGGTTCGGTTAGTAATAATACAAAAAACCCAAAATTTGCCAAGTAACCAAAATCCTCTGCTCTCTCCTCTTTTATCTTCCTATATCTCTCTACCTTCTCTCAATCTTTTTTTTTTTCTTTGCTTATTTCACCAATTCACCTTTTATTTTTTTTATTTTTTATTTTTGGTTCAACAACAACTTTTCATTAACCAATGTGAATACAAAATTACAACCTTAAGAAATTTTAAACCCAACATACAACTAATGAGATCTATTATCACCTAGTCGGATCCTAAATTACTTTCTGATGTATTTTTCACCACAACGAAAGAAGTTTCTCTTACGACCCGAGAGAAACCGTTTCTAGACCCCTACTTAGACCACTCGATACGAAAACAGAGGTACATACAACCGGACAGTGAACCAAAACCAGATTCTAACTACAGAACATGCGATTGGTCTCTACAAGATTCGAAATCGAACTAACCAAAATAACCAAAATTATTCAGGTTTTTAAATCAATTTAAACCGAAAATCTAACCAAAATTTTGCTTTAATTTTGATATAAACCGAACTAACCAAATACCCAAACTGAATTCATTTCTCGGTTCAATTCGGCACACTATCAACCAACGAATTAAACTTACCCCAAGACCAAATTAACCAAACCAAACTAACCGAACAAAACCAAACCAAACCAAACCAGCAGGTCTATCTAACGAACCGAATCTTAGGCCAAAAAAACAATTAAACCAACCTGTAGAAATCAAGCGATCCAAAGTCCTCTCATCCGGATTCTCCCCAGTAACAGTAAAATACCTCCTCTCCACAGTCTCCCTATACTCCGCCGAAACCACCTCCCTCAACCCATTAAAACTCTCCATCGACTCCTTCAACTTCTTCCTCAACCCATTAACCACCGACGTCCTCGTCCGATCCGACGACGATCCAGGCCCACACCCCGGTAGACTCCGATTCGCCGCGTTGGATCGATCAAGCGCCTCGAGCTTCACCTTGATCATCTTCGCTTTCCTGAGAGCCACGCCTACGTCGGCGTCCATCTTGGCGCGGAGATCCTTGACTGCTTCGGCGTTGTGGAGCGTCTTGCTGTGCTCGTGGGAGGATCTGAGCGTTTCGTTGAGGCGGTCTAGGTCTGTTAGCTCTTCTTTGACGGATTCTACGTCTTCGAAGAACTTGTCGAGGTTAACGCCAGAGGGGTGTGTCATTTGGACTGCGTTGGGGGCGTCTCCGTTGGTGGTGCTGCGGAAGCGGGAGAATGAGCTGGAAAACAGATCGTTCATTGTTAAAATCAGAAATCTAGAGAGAGAGATTGAGATTAGATTTGATTAAGGGAGAGAGAGACTTAATAAGGAAGGGAGGAAAGTCGTACTGATTCAATCACACGGTTTGGTGAAGCGACGGAGGAAGGAGGAAAAGTCCAAATTTTTAATTATTTTCTTAAAGTGTGTATTTGGAGAAAGGTCGTAAGAGGAGAGAGAAAGTCAAGGAGGAGGACTTGATGATTGACTTGGAAGTTTCGTTTCGTAATGGTGGCGGAAAAGGGAAGGTGAGAGTGAAAGCGTGTGTGTATATATGGTAAGCAGATAAAAGCTGGAGCGGAGAAATTAATTGTCATTGTTGGGCCGAGTTTAGGCTCGAATAATTAGAAATTTAAACAGGCCTGGGTTCATTTATGTCTTTTAGCCATTAAAAGTTTAAAATATTTATTTTGTCTTCGGCAGTAATTGATAAAAAAAAAGTATACTATGTTTTCAAAAGAAAATTGAGATTTAAAGAAATTTTTTGAGTGGAAACACCGTATCTTAGTGGTTAAAGTTTAAAGGTTTCTACATTAGGTCTGGTATTCAAATCTCAGGCTATGCAGTTTCTACCCAAAGAAGGTTTAAATTTCTGGAGAAGGTGAATGGCGAATTATGCAGATTGAAGAACCTCAAATCCCAGGTTATGCAGTTTCAAGGTTTAAATTTCCAGAGAAGGTGAATGGCGAATTATGCAGATTGGAGAAAAGGCTTATAAGAAATCTTTAGCATGGCGTAAGACGTACCGTTAGAAATGGAATTCATAAGACGACTCAAGATGATGCAATCAGACGTGAATCCGAATAAAACAGATAGAATTGTCGGCTATAATATCGTCTATGTAATATTTCTCATAATTTGTAATACATAATTAACCAATTTTTGATACCTATTTGAGTTTAGATCAAGTTTGTAACATATCTAATATCCAAAACACCAAGTTAAAAGACCAGTTTAGTATTTCTACAGATCGGAATGAGGAGTTCCATGCTTGTTCAAATAAACTAACTCTTTTAACATCGAACAAAAATTGTATTTTAAAAAGCAAAATTTGAAGTGAGTTTTGACCCACATACCATCAATCTAAGTACACTAAAAGTTTCAAAATAGTGAACTAAATTTTATTTCGGGTTAATTAGGGAAGATTTAGGTTAAACAACATAAACCATACTAGCGGAACCCGCATGTCTAACTATATAATTTATCTTTTTATCTTGGTGGTAGCAGAAGTTGCCATTGAATCCACACATTTGTTGGTCCAGTAGATTGATTACTTGAAGAGTACAGAATGAAAAAAAAAAAAAAGTTAAACATTAGCTTGTGAGTAAAACTCGGCGAGTAGATCTTCGTGCGAAGAACTTAAAAGCTTAGTAAGAATAGTTACATCAATGCATGGAAACTTCTTCCATTCATCAAAATGATCCCTAAGTATCTCTTTCGCTTTCTCTTTCAAACTCAAACCACAATCCACTCTTAGTACAGTACAAAGCTTCTCCACCGTCCCAACGCAAACCATCTCTTCCACCACAGCCTTCTCCCGCGAGAATTTAGACACTGTGCTTAAGATAGAGAGAGCTCTATCGTCTGCTGCAATAGAAACTCCCAACAACCGTTTTGTCACAATAGCGATTCCACCTCTATGAGCAAGAATCTCGGCTCTACCGTTTGCGCAACAACATAGACGAGACAAGATTCCTAACACAAGTTCCGTGGCTCTATTGTCGCCTGTTGAGCTTATCTCGAGTTCGATGAGTTGAGAAACCGCACCGAGATCAACAAGGATTGATCGGTTGCGGCTCCATGAAGAGGTTTCTAGAAGAATCATCAGCGAAGCGGTCACAGCTTGTTTAACAACCAAGGTATAATCAAGTTTTGATTGTACCTTGTTTCTTACTCTAGGGTTTGATGATTGTGCCGTGGTATTCACGTTAGGGGTTTTGTGATTGAAACTACTTATTACATCCTTGAGAAAACATATGATCCCTTTTAAGATCTCGGGATTCAATCTCTCGGCGATATGAGAGGAAGTGTTTTCTGTTAGATTCCTCAAGAGCACAATTGTGTAAGCTTTGTTGATGAAGTTTTGTTGGTTTAGAACCAAAGCCAATGATTCCAAGATCTTGTCGTTTTCCATCAAGATTGTTCTTGAGTCGTGTAGTGGAACACCGATCAAGTGAAGAAGACGTAGAGTCTCATCTAGCTGCCTTTTGATAAGACGTTGTCCCTCCTCTTCTTCTTCTTCACGAGTACACTTGACTACGAACAAGATCAATGATCTATGTACATCTCCTTCACACATCAGTCTCCTATTTGTCTCTCCCTCCATAGCCAAAGCTTCAAGATTCTTCAACGTATCTTCTCTTCTCAAAGCTATTCAATTTAAACAGAAACACATGTTTGTCTTAAACTATCGGTATAAGTAAATTCAAGCTGAACAAAACCGAATCAAACTTAATTTTGGTCCAGCCGAACTGATTTGTAACACTTGAGATTGGGTTTGAGTACCCATCCGGATCATCCAAAAACATTTTTTTTGATATTAAAGTTTTTAGGATGAGAGATCTAAGTCCATACTTATTAACTATCCCAAAAGAACCAAAAATCAAAAATAAAATAAAAGTTTAATAGGTTTGAAGAATATAGGATCAAATATTGAAAATAAACATAATGTAAGTATTTGAGCTACTTATTTAACTTAAATACTTATTATCTGGTCGGATTTGCTTTGGATTTTTAAGTTGTATTCAGTTTGTATATCAGGTTTAGTTTACAAATGCCGAAACCTAAAAAATATATATTTAATTCTTTGTTGAAAATGAATTTTGACCAGAAGAAAAACCAAACTAAAGTTTCGCCACATCAAAGCGAATACTTAAATAACCGGACCAAACCGAGCTATCCTAAAACCCGATACAATATAATACCTTCGTCTCCAAACTTTTTGAGATTCTTGATCTCCTCCACGACGTTAGGCTTCCCTGGAGGAACTCTAGGCGTGGGGATTCTGACAACACCACGCGTCGCATTCTCGACGCACCAATGTTGGATCAGACGGCGAAGCGTATGGTTAGGCGTAAGGTCGGAGTCAGAAGGAATAGGGTGCTTGGTCACGGGGCAAGAAGGGACCTTTACAAGCCACCTATCGATGCTTTCACGGTCGTAAGTGATGCCAGAAACGGTTATGACTGGATCTTTCATAATGTCTAGTGAAATTGGGCAGATGAAGTAATTAGGGATCTCGATCTCCTCATCTTCATGATCCATTTGCAAAAAAAAAGATAACGTCTGGTTTTGTATTAACATTGTGTGTATATAAATAACCATATGTATCATAGTGGTGGAGGGTAAGAGATGGCGGCTCTGCGTTTACTTGAGAACAGACTTTGTAAAACTTTGAATGTTTTTAGACTAAGTATATTCACTATCAAACACAGACACGTGCATTAGTTTTCAATGCTGATCATGATTAATCAATCATGCATGTTATAGTTTGAATTAGTTACATCTTTTCTGGGTGCAAATGTTAATAAACAACTAATTACAAATGTTAATAAACAACTAGTTACATCTTTTCTATATGCTATCTCCTAATTTTATTTATTTAGACTTTTGCCATGGGTAGTTAGACCATGATTAACCCTAAACCCAATGAAAATTTCTTAATTTTCTTTTGTTGATTTAAAAATATTAAAAAAAATTAAAAAGAATATCAATTGCGGACCGTCACATGTTAGTGGAGTCTGCGCACAGTGCAAAATTCCCACGAACATCAAACCTTCACTAACGACTTTTGTGATCGACTTTTTTTTAAAAAAAATGGACCCCACATGTTAGGAACCTTTTATGACCTGCCATAATTGTGTCTTTAGTTGTATGTGTAGTTGACAAAAAAAAAAGAAAGACCCATGATTTAGGTTCCGAATGGTAAAAGCAGTTCAAGCAGGACAGATCAAGCAGATCATGCTGATCAAGAAGGACAAGTGCATATCAAGCGGATCATGCAGGAGAGATGCAGATTAAGCAGGAGAAATGCAGATCAAGTAGAACAAGTTATTTTAGAAGTTATGAATGGTAAAAGCAGTTCAAAAAATGCAGATCATGTATTTTAATAATAAAAATTACACCAAATATCAAAATACATAATGAAAAAATACATAAACAAAAGTAAAATAATTTAATGATTTGCCCATAACATATCTGCGATGTTGTCTCTAATGTTCATCATATGATTTCCATCAGCCATATTTGTTGTCTCCAAATCACGAGGATAACTTTCAGAATCTTCATTGCTGAAATTTGTGTGTCTCATTATTTCAACAAAATCCTCATCGAAATAATTTGAAATTCTGATGAAATTGTGTAATCCCATTGTAGCAGTTACCACTCTTTTTTGAACTGCAATATCATATCTGGGAAAATCACTCAGAATCCTCCATTTCTTCTTCCAAACTCCAAATGTCCTTTCAATAACAGAACGTAGAGATGCATGACATCGATTAAACAACTCTTGTTTATTGTTAGGAGGAGGACCGTTGTTGAAATGAGACATGTGATACCTAATAACCCCATTCCGAGAAGATCTATAGGGAGCCAAAAAACCTCGCTTATTTGGATATCCAGAATCTACTACATAATACTTGTCTGGTGGAGGCAAAGGAAAATCAGAATCACTGTCTTGTGCCATCGTGAGAACTGCTGTATCATGACAAGATCCGGGTGCTCCATTCCAAACATATGTAAACAACATATTTAGATCACATATTGCCATGATATTAAACGATGTCCTATCATGTCGATCCCAGTACATTCCTTGTAGTTCAGGCTTCACTTTAACACATACATGAACTCCATCCATAGCTCCAACAAATCCACTAAAATATGGCCAATATCTTTTGTCTGTTTGCAGTCTTTCAGGAATCCGAAGTAGTTCTTGTCTTGTTGGAGTCTTGACATAATCACAAGCAAGTAACTCCGTCGCTCTAAGAACTTCAAAAAACTTTCTATTCACTGTCTCTTGTGTCCGTCCAAACCATAACCCAACATCTCTTTGAACTTCATTATGCCCACAAATTTGCAAAAACATTGCTACACTCTCTTTGATACTAACATTAAGCGTAGGATGCAAACCATATTTTGATTGCAATATGTCACAAAGAGATCTAAAAGCATCCAGAGACATTCGTAGTAACTGAAGACACGCAGCAGCATCTACTTGTAATCGACCCCAAATATTTCTCCACCCTAAACCGCCACCGGTTTGAACTGGTCCTCTTTCAAAATAACGATTGTAATAACTCAGTGATGGTTGAATTATTAACTCTTCAAATTGCTCATTTTCCAGATTCCATAACTCAATTCTCTCATCATGAGTTAGACTTTGGGGATTTTGTGATCGCAACTGACATATACGAAAAGCCTGAAAATTTTTTTATCACAAAATAAAGACTTAATCAATGAAAAGTACAATTAATCAAAATATAATACAATAACAGAAATTACAAAATATAATTTGAAACAAAACATAACCATTACTAACAAAACACAAATCTTATTAAATTAGTTATCTGATGTGGAATCACTTTCATGTGTTTCATTTAGATTTAGTTCTCGTTCAGATCCCCATATGTTGAATAACCCTCCTCTTCTTGGACGTGATGTTTTACTTGTAGAAGCATAGTTTGTGAAACCAAATTCTGGTGATACTCCTCTGGCAACATTCTCAGAAACATGATCTTCCTTTTCATTTGTTGTAGTTCGTACTTCTGTTTCTAGGGAAAATCCACGTTGAACATTTCTCGGAGGAATATATTGTGGAGCATCTTGTGATGAACCCCATTGATGAGTGGTCGGTGATGAACCCCATTGTGGAACAGCAGATGTAGGACCCCATTGTTGAGTATTTGGTGATGAACCCCATTGTTGACTATTTGGTGATGAACCCCATTGTTGAGAATTTTGAGGTGCACTCCATTGTGGAACATGTTGTGTACCCCACTGCGGAGCATTTGGAGATGAACTCCACTGCGGAGCATTTGGCGATGCACCCCATTGTGGAGCATTTGGTGGTGTGACCCATTGCTGAGCATTTGAAGATGAACCCCATTGCGGGACATTTGGCGGTGTTCCCCACTGTGGTGCAGCTGGAGGTGTACCCCATTGTGGTTTATTTGGAGGTGTTCCCCATTGTTGAAAACCAGAACTCCATTGCCCACAAGTTGGACTACCAAACTTTTGCCCAGATTCTAACCGCTTTCCCACGTATTCGCTGTCCCGCTTATATCCAGTAAGAGCTTGTAAAAACTTCAATTTTTCTTCTGTGTTTCTTTCCGCTCTGTCAATAAAGTACTTGCGCCAAAATCTTTCTTCTTTGAATGCATGAATGCACGCCCAATAGAAATTGGTGTCATTTGGTAGCCCCATTGATTCGAATATCTTCACAGCGGTATCAAATTCATTGTAATCATCTTCGTCAAAAGAATTTGGACGTAGTTGTTGTAAACTTTGGCGTTGAAACTCTCTAAAGCCAGTCATTGTATCTGTCAGGGTTGTCTCAAATGATTGTTTTCTTCGACTTCCTTGGGATCCACTTCTGACAGAGGTCCGAGAATTTCCTACACTTCTTTGTGAACTACTTCCACGCCTTAGTCTACTTCGTTGTTGAGCTCTTGAAGTAGGAATCTGAAAAGGGTCAGCAGTAGGTGAAGAATTCTGACGCAGATTCTCAGGGATGAAATCATTTGAAGGACGTATTTCATCATCAATATCAACACGATAGACTTCTTCATTTTCTTGTGTTTCAGGAACCTGAGTGTGTTGCATATCACCACCATATGTTTCAGAGTAAAAGTGACCTTCATCATTGTTTTAACCATCATTCATCAACTCTTCTCTTCTTTGGTGCAAAGAGTATTGAGATTGTGATTGGACGTCATATAAAATGAAACATCGTTGCATCACATCACAATGCTCTGGCGGCTTTCGTTTAAATGATTTTACAATCCTGTCTACCTGTTAATAGAATTGTATAGGTTTTAGACCACAAATATTATAGATTTGGTAATTTATTAAACTTATGTTGGTTTTATAAGATTTTGTTGTACTTACTTCACGATCTTTCCACCATGAATCAGACGCAGATATCACAGATGTCGTGGGATCAACCGAAATGCCCGTAGAATTTTTCATAAGATGCTTGTACTTCTTGTATTTTCTTTTTAGTTGATCAAGTTTTTCTTTGAAGAACCGGTAGTTTACGTTACTATTAAACATTTGGTTGAACTTATCAACGAGAAACTCTTTACCAGCGGGTGTAGGATCTTTGAAACGGTAATCACCCATGGCAATTGATCGATCGTACAACTCAATAAACACTCGTTCTCGGTTAGGATTCCATCTAAAATTGGCTTCTCTCTAAATTTTTTTAAAAGAATACAATCATTTGACTTTACTATTAATTATTCTATAACATTTAAAATTTTATCAAGTACTTACCCGTACTGACGTTTCTGTATGTAAATTCACATCTTCTTCATCGGAAAATGTTATATTTTGTCGGCGATTTGACGTCATATCTGCAATTTTAAAATAACTAATATTAGTTTGGTTGATTAAATGTAATCCAATCTTTATTATTTGGTTGATTACAAAAGAAATCAAAGTAATTTATAAATGATTATTGAATAATTTTTCTAATATTTATGGTATAGTTTTCTTAAATAAATATTTGCTAACATGTATATATTTTATATTTTAATTAAATTAAAGTGTAACACACATCTTATTCCATATTATACATCTATAAAGTATTATTCTAATAATTTACATGTATATGGTATACATATAATTTCGAAATAATTATTAAACATGCATATATATATATATATATATGTATATGTAAACAAATTATTCTTACTTCTCTTTTACACTAATTATATAAATATTTTATACTAAATGTATATTTTTGGGAAATATTTATATATATACATTGGTTTTTTACTTGTATGAATTAAAATGTTACATATTTTCTACTTTCAGTTAATACATATATCTACCTTATAATATAAATATATATTTACATGCATTTATTATAGGTAAAATTATAAAATACACTAAAGATATAAGATTTTTAATTAACTATTCTATATTTACAATTACTACTGTATAGTATATAAATAAAATAAAAAGAACTAACTGAGAAAACTTAGTTGACGAATTAAATATTTTCTTCTTCTAACTTATAATTTAATGTGCAATTAGACTAATTT